ACTAAGACTACGACTACTATTACTACTACGATTAATATTATTACGACTACCTTTAGTACGACCTCTACTACTACTTATATTGCCACTACCACCACTAGTACTACTACTGCTACTGCTACTACTAACGATTAGCTACTAACTACCAACTACTACTGCCCCTACTACTACTACGACTACTATCACTACTTTTACTACTGCTACTACTACTACTACTACTACTACAATTACTACGATTATTACTACTACTACTACTACTACGATTACGATTTCGATTACTACTACTATTACTACTACGACTACTACTACTATTACTACTTTTACTACTACTACTACTACTACTACTACTATTACTACTACTACTACCACTACTACTACTACTACTACTACTACTACTACTACTGCTGCTGCTACTACTACTACTTCTACTTCTACTATTACTACTACTACTACTACTACTACTTCGACTACTAAGCACTGACTACAAAACACGAGCTCCTAGCCACTACCTATATTCTACTAGTTACTAACTTAACTACCTACTACTTTCTACACGCGCTACTAACCACATATTGTTCATTATGTGCAGACCATTGTTCACAACTAAATACCAACTACTACGTACTATCTCCGAACTACGAGCTGCGAGCTACGAGCGGCTACCAACTTGGTCGCCACATGTAATTTAGTAATATTACGAAGAAGAGTTACTTCTCCGGGCAAAAGAAGCCAGACTGTTGGGGAATCTTTGTGGCGCCACGAGGGCAGCGCATTGCGATTTGCGAAAGTCCGTTTTGACAGAAGTGTGAGGATCCTCGGTGAGGTCTCACCCGGAGAACTAACCCTTTCCGCAGGACCCCCAGGAATCTACAAGGCTTCGGTCGTTCACCCGGAGAAGTAAACCTTTTCCCGGAGAAGTAGCATTTTCCAGGTGACAGAACCTCTCGCCTGGCCCCCCCCCTCCCCGCCCCCGCGGGCTGGTGACCTCTGGCCTCCCAGGGCGAGGAGCAGAGCAGGGCCTCCCTTCGGCCCCTGGCTCCGAGCCCCCCCCCTTCCCTTTGTGCAGGCTGCGCCTCTGGTATCTGGGGAGGCAGGGCCTCCCTTCGGCCCCCTGGCTCCTAGCCCCCCCTCCGCCCTCTGTGATGAGAAGCGGAATCGCACTACGACGCGAACGTGATGTAGACGTGCACACATGTGATGATGCTGTTTTTTTTATCGCCGCCTTCGCAATCAAGCATCCCGACGTTGTGCGACGGACTGTAGCCCTGAGAAGCATTTGAGACCCCCCCCCTCCCGGTGAAACGATAACGCTTCCGGCACCCTGAAAGCGTTACCTCGGCACCAGGAGGGCGTCCAGAGGGCATTCGAGGCTTTCCAAAGTTCCTAGCATTTACTAAAGAGATCTGAGCCAGACCCCCTGCATTCCCTAGGGATCCTCAGGGGTTCGACACAGATCCCGAGCATCCCCGGGGAATTCCTAGAGATCTGAGCCACACTCCTGGCATTCCCTAGGAAGCCACAGGGGTCTTAGCAAGATCCTTGACATTCCCTGCGAATTTCTTTCTTGGGGCCCAGGGGGCCGCCACCACCGATTGGGATTTTGTTTTGTTGTTCGCGCGCGGTGCTAAAGATATCGCTCCGCGAAAATGCCCCCGTGGAATATATAATAAATCGCGGTGCTAAAAGAACCCCGCGGGGGTTCTTAAATGCTTGTTCGGGTTATTTTGTTTGTAGCTTTGTGTGCCGGCTTCAGCACCGGCCTAAAGTTTATGCCTGCGAAGTCGGCCCTCCGCCCCCTCCCCCGCGGCCCCCAGCCTCCTCCCGCCTCCCCGGGGGTGCGGCCGGAGAGGCCCCGAGGGCGGCAACGAGGTGGGCGTCGTGCTCTTCCCCGACCTGTGGGGCTGGAGCGGCGGGCGCACGCGCGCGGTGCGCCCTCCCTGCTGCGCGCCACGGCGCGCCTGGCGGCCCTCGGCAGCGTTCGACGCCCCTCTCTGGGCCCTCCCATCGACCGCAGCCTTCCTGATGTCCTGGTGCAGGAGGGTCCGGCAGCCCCGCCCCCCCAGCGCGGGCGGGTGTGTGAAAGCCGAGCATGGGACGAATTACAACCAATTTGGGCGAATCACGTGATGATGTTTGGGGGTTCGTTGCCCGCGGCGACCCGCACCGAATAGTATGAATATGAATAAGAGTAATGAAACTGAGAAGACAAAGAGAAGAAGAGAAACAATACGATAATAACCATAACATAGATTCATAATAGTAAGAAGAAGAATGCCAATAAGCATAATGATTAATGATTCAGTCGACTTTGATGTGTAGATCGACCTTACCACGTTTAGCGTACCTTTGTGTCCTGTTCAGAGGCCCGTGCCGTTTACATTCCTGTGGCACTGTAGCCTTCGGAAGGTCTTGTGTCCTCTCTGGTGTCCTCTCCAATCAAGCCCAGTTATAATAATAATACACATAATCACTACTATTACTACTACTACTACTACTACTGCTA